CGATCAAGCAAATTCGATCGATAAATTCTCACCGTACTTTAAAACGGAAGAATTTCTAGTACAGATACAGCTTGAGAACCTTAATTTTAAGAATCTCCAAGCACAATACAAACTAGCATCCAGTACAGTTAGAGAATCTTAATTTTAAGAATCTCCCAGCACAGTACAACCTAGCATCCAGAACCCGTATACAGGAGAAAATAACTGTCAGTATGATTTTGGACAGTTTTAATGAGTAAGTTAAGGGAATGGACAAAAGTACAAGGTGTAGGTTAGTGTGTGTGATTTGATGAGATGTGATGAGAGAGGTGAATAGGACTAATGATTAGTTTTTTTCTCTTTTTTTCTCTTCACTTGGCCGGCCATCCTTGGGAAGTTATATCCAAAAATTTTGGTTATATGTTGAGTGTGTTAGAAGGCTACAAGTTAAGGTGATGGGATGGTAGTGGTTGAAGGGGAATTAATGGCAATTTTGGCTTCTCCTTTTCTCCTTCCATAACCGGCCAAGATTGGGGGAAATTGAACCAAAATTTGGTTGATTGAGAGAGTTGATGTGGTGTTAAAAAAATAGTTTCCAAGTGCCTATAAAAGGAACCACCATAGGATAAGCCTCATTTTTTTTTCCCTAGCTTTTCTCTCCCCCTCAAAATCCGGCCATACCATACTCCTCCACTCTTTCTCAAATATTTTCTCCTACTCTCTCAATCTTGAGCCATTACAAACCATGAAGAAGAAGAAGGAGATCAAAGGGTCTAGGAGGAGTCTAGACAAGCATTTTTTCAAAGGGTATAACTCTAAATCCTTTTTTTTATGTTTTAGTAAAGTTTAAAATGTAGAAATATTCCTCTTAAATTTCCTTATACTTTCTAGTTCCAAGCCAATAACAAATCTTAGAGGAGTTCAAGGTTTTCAAGGGAGAGAGATAGTTCTTCAAGGGTAAGCTCTCAAACTCTTCTCCATTAATTTCTAGCCAACTTTAAGCTTGGATTTGTGGATGTAAATTTGTGGTTCTTGAGGAGATGAGTTGTAATAAGGGTATGTGAGTTTTATGTTGGTTTTGTGAGTTTTTAGCTTAGTTTGATGTGGTATGCTTATGCTTGATTTAAGCTTGCTTACTTCCGGTTAGAGGAAAAATTTCCGGTTACTCTGAACACGAAAATGAGAACCCTAGAGTGCGGTGACTTTGACCGCGAAAATGAGGGCCATAGAGTGAGATTTTTTAATGTTTTAAAGCTTGAACTTATAGCCCTGGATGTTTTGAACATTTTCGGTTACTATGACAAAACCTAATTTTACTCTAAAACCAAGTTTGAAGTCATTTTTGTAAAAACGGACAAACTGTCTAACACAGTTTCAAAAAAAAAACTGGCAGCCACTGGTTCAGCCAAACGGGACTCTTAGAGGCTGAATCTTGATTTTTCACAAAAGTAACAATTTTAGATTTCGATGACATGAAAAAATGTCATGAAGAAAATATTTTCAAAATCCGACCCTAAGAGGTACTAAAACACAGATTTCCGAAACGGCACAGTTTTTGACTAAAACAGTTTCAGGAAAAACAGCGGCTAAGGTTTTCAGCCAAACGAGGCCTTCAGAGGCCGAATTTCAAGTTTCACCAAAAACAAAAAATTTTAGATCTCGACAAGACGAGGAGGTTTCATGAATAAAAAAATTTTGAAATCCGACTCTAAAATACAGTAAAACGTAGATTTCAGAAACCGCACAGTTTTTATCGAGACAAAAATAAAACAGTGTCGATTTCAACAAAAAGTTATAAAAGAACCCGAGATAGAATTTCAGTAAAACACAATGACATTAAACCTCATTTTAATGAAAGTATTCATAAAGGAAGTTTTCAAGAAAAAATGCTTTCTTTAAAGAACTTAGTGGGTTATCGAGCAAATCATCCCGACGGGCACCTACGAGCCCAACACGATAGATCCTTAGGATTTTGAGGATTTGATGTGGGTCCAATAATATCATACCAAGGGAAATTTAGGAAAATAAGATTTTGAAGATTTAATAAATTAATCTTTATTATCCTTTGGTAAAGGAAAGGAATATATGCCTTATGGAAATGGTTAGATTTTCCTTCATAAGTTGCTAAAATAAAATAGCAAATAATAGTTAATCTCACACTCTTAATGGGTGTTCAGTTTCAGAAGAAAGCAAGAGACTAGGCTGATAGGCAAAAAAGGGATTCCAGCTTTGAAAATCAAGTAAGTAGGAATCTCGCCTACAGTATAAATAGATTTTAAAGTAAACAGTACACATGAACTATATATGTTTGAGTACATTTAATGTTATGAATGCTATGCTATGTTATACTACATACACTTAGGCAGTACACCCGAATTATATGTGTTCGAGTACATGATATAGTATGTTATGCTAGGTCATATTGCATACACCTTAATAAGTCAAGAGGAACTTATAAGAGTAATCTCAGTTGAGTGCCGTACCAACCTCCACAAGGGAGGTAACTCAAGCTCCACAAGGGAGAAAAAAATAATAATAATGATGTCCTCCGACTCAAGGGAGGCATTCAAGTTATAATCACGGTGTCATGGGGGACCTTGCAAACCCTCACGTCCCGATGATTGCGCGCAAGTGGTACGAGCACTCGGGCCCATCAGTAAGAAAGATAAGATAAGATAATAAGATTCTGATAAGACATCATAATTAAGCATAATTGGCTCATGCATATTTATTCATGTGAACTTACAGTTATTTTGCGAGAGATAGTTCCTACTTGCTGAGCGAAAGCTCATTATAGAATGTTTATACTGTAGGTAAGCAACCGGCATATAATGCCTGATGGACTGCTGGCGAGTGGACGAACGATGTGGGGCTCGGGATATGGATACCGCTCGCAAATATTTCCGCAATCAGCTTTATGTTATAAATAGTTTTGTTAATTATGATTCTGAAACAGATATGTTAAGGTTTGAATATTTTAATTAAGAAAGCAATTTCGTATTTTATGTTTATTATAAGACCTTTAAAAAAAAAAAATGTTCCGTAAATTTTAAGAAATTTCAGTAAGTACAAGTTAAAAAGTTAGTTACAGTGGCGGCCTCAAAGGAGGGTCGCTACAGGAATCTCACCGGTGGTAGGTGGCCGGCGTAAAGAGAGAGAGTAAACGTGGGAGGGAGAGAGTGTAGGAGAGAAAAAGGAGAAAAAAGAAAAAAGAAAGGAAAATAAGCTTGGGTTTTTATGTATAAATTTGATAATTAGACTTTAAAGTTTTATTTAAACAGAGTATGAAATGACTCATTATTTGTATTCTAAAAAATTGGCTATCAACATTTAAAATTGTTCGAGGGACAGCAATGTTAATTTCGAAAGAATTATTTTTAAAAAGAAATTGTCATTTACGTGATAATTATAACTGAAAATATTTCACTAATCTTAGATTAATTAATACTAACCATCAAATTTAATTAATTAATCTCAATTAATTTAACCGAATGTTACAATAACTCTATTTTATAGAGTTATCAATTCACATCTCGATCTGATTACTATTTTTTTTTTTTTTTGATCTTTTATTATGTGTGTTTGTGTGTGGTTTCATAGGCAGCAGAGAAGAACTATTAATCATGTGGTAGAAAAGATTAACATGGACAGTAGATGTGTTATTCTAGGATCTAGATTCTCTATCTAATTTTTGGGGTCGTAATTATGTCTAACTAATTTAAACACGCCACCATCTCATTATAAGAATAAAAGAGTTAGTTAAAAAATAATTTAAATTTTTTACACGACGTTACATAATATGATTGGTTAGACACTACTTGAGACACTAAAATTGAACAGAAAATTTGAGTCGCTTATTCAAACAATCAAATTAAAGAATCACCAAGGTGGTAGCCTAATAGCATTAGGCTTCATTAAAGAATCACCAAGGTGGTAGCCTAATAGTAAACTTTCAAATGGTTTGATAGACATATTTTTAATAGTTTTCTGATGGAAGTGCCGAACGAGGGACAAGAAGCGTAAGCTGGGGTGTAATTTAATAATTTGCATTTTATGTAAAAAGCGGGACAAGAAAATAGTTTGTTGACCAAAATTAATTCTGTGAAAACGACAGTATTTAGCTTATTAGACGGGATATTTTTCTTGACTTGACTTGACTTGATAAATGCATAGTGGTTGATTAGTCAAAACTTTCTAAAGCTTGAATGCATGCAAATTGAACCAATGGATATATGGGAATTAAAAACAATAAGGTTCACAAAAGCCAAATGCCAAAAAGTGCTCAAAATAAAAAATAGTATATTGATTAATTGAAATGTCAAAGTTTCGGAATTAGTTCTTTTCAAAGAATAAATCATGTAAAACTAATTTAAAAAAGATCATTTTATAACTGTCAGGACATAACTGATGTAAGGAACATCATAAATGTTTGTTAACCTTTTTCAAAATCATAACTTCATCGATTTTCTAATGTTTTATAAATAAAATATCTAAAGATTACTTCTGGTCAACTAATAATTAACATGCATTACTTTAGAATTTGATCTCACGCTTGGAAATATATCCTTTTCCACAAATGAAAGAAGAGTAATGAATACGCAACGGTGACTTCTAGTCTTCTATAACTACAGGGTATGTTAACAACAGTGACTGCACGATTTAATTGTATATGTCCCGCTAATTCAGGCAAGTTTTTCTTTCCATGATAATGGAGATAATTCAGACGAGTTTTAATTTGCAAGAAAATGACACAAGTTTTGTTAAATTAGGGAATCGCCCGTTTTTAGATATGATTAATCGGTGGAGGACCGATTTGTGGTTTATCACTAATTGGGTTGGTGGAATATTGTTGATGAACCAGTATCATTCAGTGATTAACCAATTTTATTCAGTATTTTACGAGTCCATCAATGATAAACGATTAGTAAATTAATGATAGACCGGTTTATTAGTGATAAATAATTGGCATATCGTTGATTAACCACTGTAAAACCCAACAAAGATCGCTTTTTTTGGAAAGAAACGACAATTCAGCTAAAGAAAGGTCCAGCCATTATTTAAAATGGGTGACCATAACCGGCGATCTATCTTATATTTCCTTAATTACTTATTTATCCTGGTGTGACAAGGTTCAAATAATTTTCTAATTTGGTGCAATTATTTAATTTAAAAGTTAGACATTGATGGAATGACAGAAAATTTTCAAACTTGCTTAAATTTTCCGGGAGAGCTAATACCAAGGAATGACAACTAGATCTCTTCTAAAGCATGTCAATTCAAAAGACTTTAAAAGATGCTTGGAATGAAATACAAGAAAAATCAACCTCGTCTCAATATTGTATTTTGTATCGAAAGGAGTTTGAGAATGAACCCGAATGTCCAGTTTGTCATGTAGAAACAAATTATAAATTTCCTCATCACTATTAGCTATATATATCACTACGTACAACACTTGTGACAAATATTTTGTCCACTCGGTGTTTCTTAAACTGTAAGATATCATCAAGTGCAAAGCACATACGCAAAGTTGACCTGATAAATAGTCTTACCGACCCATGAATCTTGTCATCGTCATAGTGTTTTTCGACGATGCCTTTGGCTTACTAGAGGAATGATCTCCATGCGAATCAGTTTCGATGAAATAGCCTGGTGGTTTTGGCTGAGGCAGCATACTCTCACTACCTAACATGAGAATGACAGCCAACATGCTTGGTCTATCCACTGGACGTTGTTGCACGCATAATAGAGCAACATGTATGCAACGCAATACTTCCTGTAGGTTGTCATATGAATCCCTCAAGTGTGCATCGATTAGTTCAAGTGGCCTTCCTTCTTTTAGCAATGCCCATGCCTAGAAATATGAAGGAAAATATGTCATTCATATTATATATTATTCCCAAGAAGCAATGAAACTTTCTTACACTTACATGTCCAATGATGGTAAGGCTGGCATTGTTCTTATGGTGGAATCCTACACTTCTCTTTCCACTTACAATCTCCAGTACCATAATACCAAAGCTAAAAATGTCGGATTTTGTTGAGAATAGACCGCGAAAAGCATATTCCGGTGCCATGTAACCACTACACGCATATTATATCGTCAACAAAAATGAAAAGTGCTCGATGGAATAGAATTTCACATTTTTCGGTATAAAGAACTTGCAAGAATACCCACTAAGTGCCTACTACTCTGTTTGTCTTTCCTTCGGATTGGTCTCCTCCAAAAGTTCTAGCCAAACCAAAGTCTGAAATTTTAGGATTCATCTCTTTATCTAGCAAAATATTGCTAGCTTTGAGATCTCTATGAACAATCCTCAATCTGGAATCCTGGTGGAGATATTGAAGCCCTCGAGCAATACCGCATATAATTTCGAAACGCTTTGGCCATTGTAATAATTTACTTTGCTCCTGATCTACAAAATAATTTCTTCAAGTTAGTCAAGTATACCAAACTTTCACAGAGATATAAAACAAAGAATAAATTAAATAAAAGTTTGTACCAAAAATAAAATAGTCCAGGCTTTTATTGGGCATATATTCATAAACCAGCAATTTCTCTTCTTTGTCAATGCAACAACCAAGAAGCTTTATTAGATTCCGATGTTGAAGCTTGGCGATTAGTATTACTTCATTTTTAAGCTCATTTATGCCTTGGCGAGAGCTCAATGAGAGCCTCTTCACAGCGATCTCTTGTCCATCTTCAAGCATACCCTGAAATCTCAAGCAAATTTCACAATTTTTAAATGTTTCCTTTTGTCCATTATATTCTTGATCAGCTAGCATATTAAAAACATACTCTGTACACAGGTCCGAAACCACCTTCTCCGATCTTGTTGTCCATTGAGAAGTTATTTGTAGCTATACTTATTGTATCTTGGCTGAACAATGGCAGCTCAAATTCTTGGTCTTTTGCTCTGTTTTTTCGACTTGTTTTTTTATTTCTCCCTGTTTTATCTCAGAAAATATCTCTAACGTATAAATGGGACAATAATTCAACTGAAATAGTAATGAAAAGAAGTATCCTGTAGTTCTGGAAATCAGGTGCCTTATTCAAGTACGATATAGCTTTACATGACTGTACAAGTACAATAATTGTACTTTTTCAAGATATTGTATTACTAAATTAAATTATTTAGGATTTGAAATATAAAAGCCTTATGTTTACGAAGATGATCAAAGGAAGTGTTTCAACAACATTACCTTTCAATGTTTTCCTGCAAAAGTAAAAGCCAACTAGGAGCATCCCAGAAAGTGGTCCAAGAACTGATACAACTATTATCGCTCCCAACTTACGAGCTGCTTTTTCTATTTCTTAGTTGTTTATAAGCGAAAAGAAAAGGCAAACAAAAATGTCAGTTGCAACAAAAAGATGGCAGAAATCATGGTAAAGCAACTATGAATGACAGCACAACCATCTTTATATACCTATTGTATATTTCTTTTTTCATCCAACTAAACCAACCTTGTAAATGAGTTTATAATTCACAAAATTATGAAATTATGCAATAATGTTGCTGATTTTTGGTTTGTTTGGAATTTTAAGTTTGAAATATATTACAATTAAAGTCAAATTTAGGTTCGTGCTGTTCAAACTAAACAAAAAACTCTAAAAATAATTTTTGTTGGGGCAGAATTAAAAGGAACCCTAAAAATAGGCAATCTTTTGTATGGAGTGACAAGAAAAAAGTATTTACCTAGTTCCGAAGCTGGTATTCGAATATATAGCTCTTGTTCAGTATCAGAAAGTTCTCTCATGTCCATAAGATCACCAAACCAGATGCGACAGCCTGTTCCATATCTGATATTGCGGTTTGAGTAAGCCACACAATAACAGTTGCTCAAGCATTTGACCCTGCATTCCTTTAAGTTCATACTGTCGTTGAACCAAGTATTTCTAGTATCGGGAATTTTTATGCCAACAAGTTTCGCAAAACCATCTTCATCTTTATATTTTTCTTCTGGGCAATTCAGCGGGTTTTTGCGGACACATCCTTCAGACCAATCCCTTAAATCCCATTTTTGTTGGGACTTGGGCTTAAATCCTTTCAAACATTGGCACACTGCAGTCTGACTTATGACACAATTCCCATTGGCTCCGCAGCGACTGTAGTTATCGCAATCATCCCTAGGAGCTTCAGAGTACAGCTTCCAACTCTGGTCTCCTTCCATCCATATAAGTCCTTGAAACACTCTATTTGTTTGATTCAGGACACTTATCATGATTACGGAGTTGTCCTTGAGGGTATACATGTAATATGTCTCGTTATCATTGAAAACAAGATGGTAATCAAAAAGTTGATTAGGCCTTATCTCTGGCGAGCCACTAATACCAATGCCGTTCCACGGTCCAGAGCGGAAATGCGTTTCGGTGCCCTTCTGTATATATGCTTGCGGATAAATGTCATGTTTAGCCTCCATGACCAAACTGAGGTCTCCAGAACAAGGGTCATCCCAATTCTTCCATGCTGATAACAGCTTATTAAGACCTTTTCTGAAGTCCCATCCAAATTTCATCCCTGGTAACAATGTATCTCCTGGGTAGTCAAAACTTTGCCACAAAAAATTAGTCTCTGAGTTTCTGTCTGCCTCATCTCTTAGTACAAGATTCCCTGAATCTAGAAGCTCTAGTGTTGGTTTCTTGGCCGCTTTCGATGAGTTTGTCGACCAAACCACACTATGGTTCTGATTCAGAAGCACAAGATTGCCTGTGCTGTTTATAGTCAACAAGCCAGAGAAATCATTAATTGGGCTGCATCTGTTTGCGACCCAAACGACCTTTCGAACTGGGATTTTCTTGTACCAAATTCCGAGGTAACGATTCGTGGAAGTGCCTGGACTGAAGAAACCCAACTCAAAGATTCCTCTTTTAGAAACAAAAGTTCTGCCATCGTTTAAATTGAGGAAGGTACTTGTGCTATCAACTGCAAAAGAAACTGCGAGAAAGAGAGAAAGAGAAAGCAGGAAATTGAAAAATATGGGCATTTGTTTCTGTTTCTTCCAACTTTAGGTGACAACTGAAGGTAGAATATGTTACCATGGTGTTTGTTGGGCGGCCAGTCGACATCTTTGACAAAGTCAATTGCGCATATCAAATTACTTTAAGTTGAGCTGACCTTTTATTATTAGTGACCGTACTTAATAGCGCGGTGTTTCTGAACACTTTCTTTTCTTTTTTTGATGCACGTCTATACAGATTTCTGAATTCAAGAAAAGGATACTATTTGTCACAGCTGACATCTTTGACAAAGTCAATTGCGTATATCAAATCACTTTACAAAATAAGTTCTCTCTGTGAGCATATCGTGAAAAAATGCCACACTAAACGAGCAAGAGTCTTCAAGTCAATAGAACTGGAGACTTTATCGCCTTCCCTGTACTGCGTGAGGCAAAGGAAGAGAGAAAGGCAGAAAATTGGAAAAACGGAGGGCTTGTTCTTTCAGAGTGAAAAACTCAAAAAAATGTAACTCAAGTTACAATTTTATTTGAGTTCATATTCTTTTAAGTTTAAACTTGAGTTTAAACTCGAATTCAAACTCGAGTTT